TATAGAAATAAATATTGAATTACTAATAGTACTAGCTTCCAGAATTATCATATTTTAAAAGATAATAAGGTTTTAACAAACTAAAAATAAAACACCTTTGTCGCTTCTCATGTCGCAAGACTTTGTTGCATGCATGTTTGATTGGTATTCTTCTATGTATATAGAAAACAAATGGTCGATCTATGTTAAGAAAGTTAAGAAACTAATAATATTTCCATATGACAGTTGTGACTGGAGTGCACATATATAAAAAATATCGAATATTGTGGGAACCACATAAGAGGTCGGCCGATGCATCATACAAACGAAGGAATTATCCAACTTCTTGGTATTTTGTACTATCTTGTATATTCCAACCGCATTTCGTCTGTTAGAACTTAGAACAGCCACATATATATACTCATTTTTTGGTTTATAAACTTATCTTAAAGAAAAAGGGTTTTAGGTTTGAGTTTTTGCGACTGTTGATTCAGAATGGAATTAATTGTTTTATTTCGGAAAACATCCGATTTGCTAATGTAACATGCCTATCCATATGAGTTTATAAGCATTTATTATACATCATAAATATCACGTGAACAGTGAACACATCTACCATATATATTAATCAAAGAAATTCCGAAACATACATTCGCCAACCCGAATCTAATATATACAAGACTATCTTTTTTTTTTTTTTTGTGCAAATATATACAAGACTATCTAAAAAACCACAATATAATTAACCAAATTCTTCATTGTGAAATCCGGTTAGTTTACCTGCATATAACACTAAAAGATATTTATTTTAGAAAAAAATGATTGCATATATGAAATCCGTACGTTTAATATAGTTGAGTGTTATGCGGTAGATTAGTTTCAAACAAAAGCCTTAACAAAAAAAAAAAATCGTTTCAAACTACTATAACCAAATTTTCTAATTTATTTGATACTTAAATCCGCCTATGATGCGGGACATCATCTAACATATCTATAAATATATAGCTAATTTAGAGACAGTGATATAGGATCCACCATGAACATAATTATTAAAGATCCAGCTCATTAGTAGGTTTCCCCCATCAGGAATAGACACAAACCTCAAGGATAGCCTTTCTATTTTATCACATCCATATAATAGTATGATTTTTTTAAATGTTTTTGTAAACCATAATAGTATGATTGTTATCCATTAGAATTATGATGTAGTATTTCATCTACCACTCTTTATTAACAATGACAATACACGGATTTGAATTCGAATAATCAACACAGTAACGTATTAGAACAAACTATTACAATACATGCATGTACTTGTTTCACTTGAATATATTAGATCATATGAGCGACTTCTTTTACCAATATTTTATTGTAAAAATAAAGTCACTAACAGAAATGAAATTATGATCGTGGCGTTGTCTTTAATTGTGTGTATATTGACAAAACAAACAAAAAGGTGTGTGTACAGCTTCCAATAATTACGAGATACATAGGAAACATAATGACAAAATTGAGTTTTGTCTATACCTCAATTATTGTGGCAGGCTCTGAAATAAATCCAAGATTTTCCGAAACACCAACAAATGAGTTTTGTTCAAAGTTCACTGTGTCTTCGGTTTCATGTTCATCATTAATGGGCCCCTTACTTAGTTACTCCCATCAATTGTTTCTAGTTTCAAAAATAAATACTTCTATATGTTTATGTCTCTTTTCTAATATATCTATAAGACAATTATCATTGGTCATCAAAATAAAGAGGTCTTTAAAAATAAAAGTGTTTTTAATGGTGTAAATAGTAGAGATTTTGTGTTTAAAGTGTCTTTGGTGAGACACAAGATCTCTACTATTCACACTATTAAAGACACTCTCATTTTTAAAGATCCTCTCATTTTAATATATAATCTACACTACTGTAGATATATATATTCCTCAAAAAATATTGGTAAATGTGACACATTCATATGGGTTATTTTAACTATTATTATTATCTTAAATATAAATATAGTAAAGTAACTCATTTTAAAATCATAAAAACGTTTTTTATTTCCAAGAAGTTTTGGCTTTAAGTCTCTTTAGATCCAGGATCATTCCTTGATTATAAGTGCAACATAATCATTCCTCTCCACCATATGTGAAATCGAGGATGATAAATTTCTATTTTTTTTACTTAGTTAGCTACACATAGATAAGAAATATATACATATATATATATATGCAAAAATTATAAAATTTGTTTATAGAAATTATTTTATTTTGTTAAATTTTTATAGCGTATGTTTATGGCTTTATATTATATTCTCCCAACTTTAAACTCAAGCTTTTTAAACATTTAATCTATAAAACTACTATTTTTCTTAAAATTCAAATGTAACGTCATGACTGCTTCTAACCGTGGACTCCACATTTCTAGGTTAACGATCGCTTTGTGAACTTTATAACTCACCTCTTATGGTTGGCTTGCTATTTTGATTAAGTTAGAAAAAACTGATCGACAGACTATATGTTTCTTTTTGACCTCATTCGAATGATATTGAAGTACCACTTGAGCATGTAACTCATATTAAGTATTAACATTACTCTAAATTAAGAATGTTTAACTTGGATAATTTTTTTAAATAGATCCCCACAAAAACAAATTATATATATACAGTAATATATAAAAGTAAAATTAATTATTTTGCATTTTCTCACATAATACCACAATATTTTCAGAAAATAAAATCTCACTAGTCACTACCACTCAAAGCGTGCAACATTGTTTTCGCAGATAAAGCTATTCACCCGACAATGTTTTTAAGCTTAGATTGATCCACTCATCTGAGTTCGCTCTCTTGCAATTTGGTAGTCTGCCCGATCAGGCGATCACTCACGTCTATGAGCCCCGTCTCTAGGTGTACGTAGTCTATGGTTATGTGCTAATATATTCAAAGTAGAGATAACGATAGAGTACAACCAGACGAGAAAAAAAACTATAGACCAAGGCGGGGAGAAATATATTTGTGAATTCTGAGACGATATCATACGATTCTTTTTGGCTCTCAGAAGTCATAACCGAGCAATTTGGATAGCGGTTATCATGAGTGCATTTTATATATATATAAACAGTTATATATGTAATCGTGCATATTATATATAGTTGACCTGGTAATTATTGATTGATATTTGGTATGCGCGCATACATTCTTACATATTGGAAGTATATTGTCTCTAACGATTTAAATAAATTGGCCTCTCGTCACATATGCCACATTAGCATGTTAGGCGTAAATTAATGAGAAATTGTTAAAAATACCCCTTTTGGTGTGCCACTTTTCAAAAATGCCCCTTTTAGATGTCCATTTTCAAAAATGTCATTTTTTAAATCTGAAATTTTTATAAAGTTTTATTAGGTTTATAAGGTACTTATGGATTGTAACTACTACTTGAAGACTCGATCCAAGTATTTATAAGGTTTTATAAGGTGTTTTTAAAGGTTTTACAAGTTATTTTAAAGGATTTTTAAGGTTTTTCAAAGGTTTTACAAGATATTTTAAAGGTTTTTAAAGGTATTTAAAATGCATTTATAAGGTATTTATAAAGTATTTATAAGATTTTAGATACATAGAAATGTAGTTTGTGTATGTTTTAATAATATTACATACATATTTGGGTAAATCTTATATTCTTAAGAACATTTTTTATAAGGTTTTAAAAAGGGAGTATTTTTGAAAAGGGGTATTGAAAAAGGGGCATTTTTGTGAGTCTCCCTAAATTAATTGTTGGAAGAATTAATGTTAACTTATTAATCAAAACGAATCAGTGTATCTAGTCTTATCTAATAATATGTTAAATCATAATTAAGAAGAAAACTAATCTAGTACCGAATCGACCAACCCACGGAGTTCAAAAGGAAAACTAGTTATAGTTAAAAAAAAGTTCAATATAAATAAAGTATTGTTGAATTTTCTCTTGATGTCAAAAAATAAATCTCTTAAAATAAATTCCGTAACTAATTTTCCAATTAGTAAGAGTTATATATGTATACTCTTGCATATGCTCGTTTACAACTTTACATCATGCTTTGCCAACCCCTTTTGAATTTGATATCAAATCAGAAAAAAATGTTTGACATATTAAATTAGGTCCATATGATAGAGGATCATAATGACCACTTAAAGTAGAATTAATATTATATTTTTTCCTATATATATGGGGCAAGAATAATTGATTCAACACAGTAAACGTATATAAATAAAAGTATATTAACTTTCTTGTGACTTTCTTAGTAATCTTTTTGATTAGAAAAACGAAAAAAAACAAAATCTGAGCTTAATTAACATTAATTAATCTTGAATTATCGTATCACCAAATTCTTTAAGGTAATAATTCTTAAACCGAAAACTATGATTGACTTTCTTACTAATTTTGAGATACCAAATAAACGTACGGACTAATCTAGACTAGTGATCCTAGACATTCAGAATTTAGTCATTTACTGACTATTATATTCACATAAAAATAAATATTATCGTTTGCCCAAAAAAAAATAAAAATAAATAAATATTATCTAAATGAAAACGGTTATTTCGAATAAGAAGAAAAAGAAGGGAAAGTTTGGTTTGTTTTCCCTAAGTGGATAACAATGAAACCAAAAGAGAATATTTGATAATAGTGTCCCATGAGACACCTCACAACTGAGATTTCTTGTAACTTTGGTTTTTCTTGAAACTTCCCACCATAACTAACTACATACATTACACAAGCATGGACCCAATTAATCTTACAATATTGTAAGAAACTCTAACTAGCCATCTTATATACTTAGCTACATGCATGTTTTATATTATTGTATTTCCATATATCATATAAGCTAATTCCCCCACTAACTATAAATATATACATAATTAAACCTATATATGTATCTACACACACCGCTCTCCCTCTCCCTCTCCCTCTCCCTCTTTCTCTTCCTCCTTTGTTAATATACTTTTCTTTGACCCTTACACGCCCTGTTGATATTATTCTCTTAAATATTTTCTTACATTACCACATACATATTAATCTAAAGATTTATCCACGTAATGGGTTTGAAAGATATTGGGTCCAAATTGCCACCGGGGTTTCGATTTCATCCAAGTGATGAAGAGTTGGTATGTCATTATCTTTGCAACAAGATTAGGGCCAAATCTGATTATGGTGATGTAGAGGATGATGAAGTTGATGATGAAGCTTTGAAGGGTTCTACTGATCTTGTGGAGATTGACTTGCATATCTGTGAGCCATGGGAGCTTCCTGGTAACATATATATATCTACTTTTTCTGATATTTAATTATATATAATCATATGTTTATGAATTTGTTTATATATATATATATATATGTATGTGTGTGTGTTCTTTCCACTCCTGGCTTTTTTGTTGGGTTTCAAATTGCTTCGCAAAGATTCTTGAAACTTTCCATTGAAAAAAATATTCCTGAAATTAATTGAACATAAAGAAGAAATCAGATTCTTGAAATCAGATTTTATTCTCCGCGTCGGTTAATTATTATTGTAAATCTTTATATATAACTTGTTAGTATTATACAATTAGATGATGTTTACTTATGTGTGTATATATAATTTATGTTTGTCAACTTAACACATGCATATTTACAGATTTATGATATGCTTATACTTACAAACCGAATCTTCTTGTTCGTAATTCTAAAAAAAGAATGAAAGATCAATTATCTTTGATTGTGTGAACAAACAGGTGATGTGTTCACATAAATGCTAGATTTTAGACTGATTAATTAATCACGATTATAATTGCATTAATAATAGTGTAAACATTATCCGGAGTGTCATGATTAGTTGAGATACATGCTAGCTTTTCTAATAAGATGTTATGTGATTATAAAATAAAGATCTGGAGGCTGTACAAAAGCAGCAAAATATGCAAAATCACAGCTGTCGTTATAGAGTTCTCAAGATCAGATGGTAAATTTTAATAAATAATTATATATGTGTGTGTGTATAGGTGCTTACATCATATATGCAGTACACAATATACATACCAAGACAAATATATATAAATATATATATATATATATATATATATATATATGTGTGTGTGTGTGTTTTTTGTATGCTTCTAGTCATTTTCATTTATTGTTTGGTTCTTTTTAAAAAAAAAAATTTGTGAACAAATTGTTTGTGATTCTTTGTTTGATGATATACCTTGAGAAATTAGGGAAGCTTTTTCAAAAGGGGACCGAGAATTCTGTTGTCATCTTTTTTTTTTTTCTGAACTTTTTAAAATTTTTGTTGTCTTCTTAATTTTGACTTTGGGGGACTTTGTTAATTAATAGGATAACTTGCAGATTATAAAATTCAAAGTTAGTTAATTTGTTGCATTAAAGAACATTGATTAAAATGTAATAAAAGATTAAACAAAAAAAGTAGGCTTTGTGTGTAAACACGAAGACCTTTTTTGCCTCATATCACAAGCAACTTTAGAGACTCAAGAAACCTTTAATTATTTACGTGACCAGTACGATCTTGTTGTAATTGTTTTCGAATATATGTATATATATAGTATAATTAACTAAGCTATATATATAGTAGTCTATTTAGGATATGGTTGATGATAATTATGTTTACGAAAAAGAAATTGTGGCCTATTACTCTTCTTCTCAATTATGGCAAAATAAAGGAATCTTTTTAAGTAGTCATCACATTGTCTTCTTGATCATCTTCTATAAGGATCAAATTAATGTGAAACTGATAGGAGGAATGTTTGAGAGAGCAATAATTTCCTCCGTTGAAGTCAAAATCGTAATTATGTTTTTGCCAAAACTAATAATATAATGTCTCACATCCTCGTCTTGTCCACATCACAACTCTAATATCATCACATTAACCTTTGACATGTCACTGTTTCTATATCGAAAGCCTATATAAACCCAATTCAAAAAATTAGTTAATGGTGGTTAACTGGTAAAAAAATCACCACAAAGTCTGAGGGACCATAAATAAAATTTACTAGACGCTTTACACAGCATATAATATTTAGAATATGACTTTTCTTTTTACAATTTTTTCAGTTGATATTTTGATAGATATCTTGACAAACTCTCTTAAGATTTACTAATAATTTCTATATCTTTTGTATGTTGTGTAAAGATGTGGCAAAGTTAAACGCAAAGGAATGGTACTTCTTCAGTTTTCGCGATAGAAAATATGCGACTGGATATCGCACAAACAGAGCGACAATAAGCGGATACTGGAAGGCAACAGGAAAAGATCGAACGGTGATGGATCCACGTACAAGGCAATTGGTAGGGATGAGAAAAACACTTGTGTTCTACAGGAACAGAGCACCAAATGGGATCAAAACTACTTGGATCATGCACGAGTTCCGTCTTGAGTGTCCTAACATCCCACCTAAGGTACTTGATTATTCCCCAACAATTGTTCCTTCTCTCTTTGACACTACTAACCATAATTAGTAATCATCATTTCATAATAATTACGTCTTAGTAACCATAACTTGCATCGTGCCTAAATTCACGACATGTGTCTATTCGTGGATGTCCCATGCATAGATATAGATAACAAATTAATGGTATCAGCGTATTGGTATTTTATGCCAAACTAATTTGAAAAAAGAAAAAGGAGATAACATTTTTCTTCTTTTTGGGTAGAAAATCTCAATAAGTTATCCCACTGGAAATATATTAATCCATCCTATTACTTTAAAATTTTAATCATAAATTGTCAAAAATGTCGTAATACATTAATCCATCATATTTATATACATCCATCCAATACCATACAGTCTATAGATTTATATTTGCACAATTGCACCTCTCGAACATTAGTCTGGACTATGATCTATAATATACACAAAATAGATATTGTTCATTCATTTATTTATTTGTTTTAGTCGGCTATACCTATTTAAACTTAATTACTTAACTAAGCTACTATGTGAAGAATCATATACTTAATAAAATTCAAAACTTTTGTCCAAAAAAAATAAAATAAAATAAAATAAAATAAAATTCAAAACCAATTGACAAATGAAGGGATTAATAATCAACATCTCTTATACACACTAGTGTTGGTTATTTCTCACGTCCAATCTAGATTCTTTACATATGTTTACTCTCAGGATAGTTACTTTTTGAGTCAAGTATCTAAGCATACGTATTAACGTATATATGTATGCATGATGAGATGGCAGCAAATACAAAGAATGACGAATATATGTAGAAAAAAACAAAAAATAAAAAGATGGAAGAAAGAGACAAAAGTGGCTTTAATGCGTGTTTGGTCATTTGCATGCACGAGACCGCACGTAACGTAACATTTCATGCATTTTTATATATATACGTTTATATGATTTATTTTTTTAACGATGACCTCTCGTTTTCTGTCGGTATGTGGACACAGGAAGACTGGGTCTTGTGCAGAGTGTTCAACAAAGGCAGAGACTCATCACTACAAGACAATAATTATATCACTGATAATCAGACGCAAAGGCCTGAAGTTAATGACGCTCCGGATCTTAATTACAACAATCAGTTACCACCTTTGCTATCATCCCCTCCACATCAACATGAGAAGATGAAGATCCAAGTTTGTGATCAGTGGGAGCAGCTAATGAAGGAGCCTTCAAGGACCACCGACCAGCCCTATCATCACCATTGTCATCATCACACCATAGCATGTGGTTGGGAACAGATGATGATCGGTTCGCTGTCATCATCTTCGAGTCATGGCCCTGATCACGAGTCCTTGATAAATTTGCTTTACGTCAACAATAACAACAGTGTCAACATCAGTGGTGATCATCATCAGAATTATGAGAAGATTTTGTTGTCATCACCAGACATGACGAGTTTGGATCACGACAAGACATGTATGGGATCATCATCGGATGGTGGTATGGTCTCTGATCTTCACATGGAATGTGGTGGCTTGAGTTTTGAGACCGAAAATCTCCTCACTTTCCATTGAACATAATTCAAGGGGTTCGCCGATTTGTTGATTCGTGAAATATACAAATATTTTTTATCTATAGATTTATCACATTATTAAACATGTAAGTTGTGTGGCATTTGGGTATAGGATTTGTGTGATTCTAGGGTTTTCTAGGAGGTTGTTATATTTTAGCGTGTTTTTAGATTTTTTTCATTTTTCATTTTAAAATTATATGCAAACTCATTAGTCATTACTATGAATATAATTAGTTTTCTTTGTTGTAAATAATACTGAAATTTAGTTTATCCGTCATTTTTCCTTTGCATATTCTATTTTCTTTTTATAGCTCGTATATCATTTGCTTAAATTTTTAATATTTCCCTAGCAAACATTCATTCATAGATAGAAAAAATGAAAGCGTAACGAGAAACCAGAAAAGGAGCCTTATTGGGATGACCCAAACTAATTGGCGATTGGGCTGCAGATGGCGGTTGTTTTTTAGGCTTCAATTGCTTTTATTTTTTCGGCTTCAATTTCTTAGTTTCGTTAATAAATTACAAAAAGTGAGTGTATCGATGCTAGTCTGGAGCTGAAAAACAGCTCTTCATAGCTCTTTTATACGGATCATAAGCAGAAAAGAGACACACGATACAGTTTTTCCGTAGCTTTAGAAGCTAAAGAAAGAGAGAAGAACCTGGGAGTGCCATGCTATTTTTTGTTAGGACACAGAATCCAACACAACTTTTCGCTTCAAAAATTGGAATCAATCAACACTTTTCCCCACAAGAGTAAACTAATCAACAGTTTTCCATAATTCCTTTTGTTCTTTATCTTTTTAACCCTTGTACATACTTTTTTCTTTTCATTATCAATAAATTTGACATTCCCTCAAAAAATATCCAAGGTAGATGAAATTGGACCGATATGTAAAAGGGAAAAAAATGACTGTTTACTCAAAGGAAAAAAAAATGGGTATTCTGACTTCCATTTCAAAGGAAAAATGGGTAAAAAAACCCTCACTTTTCTTAAAAACATGTAAAAAACCCTCAACTTTTTTTGTGGGTTTTAAAACCCTCACCTTTTTCTAGGTGGTAAAATAAACCCTAATATTAATAAACTCAATTTTTTTTTAAATCGTCATATTAAAACAATAAGAAACAAAAACAATTTAATTTATGATTTTTTCAAGTTCGAGTTTGCAATTTTTCTTTTTAAAATTAAGGTTTTTGCGCTATAAAAATACATTTACGATTTAGTTGAGATTAGGCAAATCATTTTGTTACCATTAGAAGTTATGTTATATAAACTACAAAAAATTATAGGATAGCACATTTGATTTTTTTTTGTTCGAGTTTTCAGGTTTTGGATAAAAATATAGTTAAATAATTATCAGCTATATGTAATTAATATTATTTTTAATGTATCGTAATACGTATATAGAAATATTTACTGTTAGTAAATTTTATTTAGTTTGTCCGATGAAAATATTTTGATGTGGAAATTCATATACTTTTCGTAGTATTATAAAATTTAGTTTGGTTTTACGTTAGCAAAATTGTGTGATTGAACCGAATAAACCTTTAGTAACATAAACTCATATTCGGTTCAATATAAGAATTTATATATTATTCGTAACAAAATCTGTTTGGTTTCACATTGATGAATTTTTGTAACACAACCTAATACAATTAATTTTTTTACATCATGACTTAAAAATTTTCAATTTAGAAAAAAGATTGTAAACTAGAATTTTAAAAGAAAAATCCTAAATCAAATTGTTTATATTTATTATGTTTAATATAACGATTTTCTTGAATTTAAATTGAGTTTATTAATAATAGGGTTTATTTTACCATTTATGAAAAGATGAGGCTTTAAAACCCCAAAAAAAAAGGTGAGGGTTTGTTTTATGTTTTTTAAAAATGTGAGGATTTTTCTACCCATTTTTCCCATTTCAAAGGACTGTTTACTCAATTAACCCACACAAGTCGGTCTCGGTTACTAAACTAGGATACCGTTTCCACTTTCCATATGTGACGGAGCCTTAATTCGTTTGGGCCTCCGTTAGGCCCAGAAAGCAGATCACGGGTATATTTTCAATAGAATGCAAACAAAAAACAAAAAAAAAAACAACAACAACAATTGGAACAAGTATAACAAACTACAGAAGAAAAACAAGTGGAACAATGGATACAAATTCTACCATAAATTTATATTTTGTGGAAAGAATCGTAAACTAATAAAATCAATAGACAAAAAAACTGGCGCAATATTATAGTAGTATGACATTGTAACTCGAAACTTCCCTTTTATTTATGAGAAGAAAGTGTTATTACAAGTGAGGTGCCGCAGACACATATTTTACACGTACGTTAAAGGTAGACGGACATGATTACAAACTGACCATACTTTATTAAGAAAAAGAAAAAAACGTTTTGTTTAAGCCTCGACGATCTCCTCGATCAACTGTTGTTGCCTACCGGAGGCGCGAGTCAAAGTGGTCTCAAGTGTGTTGAACTTGATCTTCCTAGCTTCCTCGGGAGAGATCTGGAAACCATTTGATATGACCTCCAATGGCAATGCCCTCAAGAGTGAGGTTCGACCCGCCAAAGTGCTGATCATCGCGTTTTCATTAGTCTTGAAAGAGATCCACTCGAACTTGTTTCCGTGGGACTGGACAACGTATGCGAACCCTTGTGGGATGACCACGAGCTGTCCCTTCTGCACCTGCTGGTCCAACACGTTCTGTCCGTTGTCGTTGACCACTTGGATCCTTCCTTGTCCTCCAGTGCAGTACAAGATCTCGTTAGCGTTCATGTTGTATTTCGGAAGAACCATCGCGTTCTGCAACATTTGATGAATTGTGATCATCATCCCTCATATATAAAGGCAGTAGAATGGCTGATATCTTTATATTTATAATTATAAGAATAATGTACTTACACCCTGGAGAACGCCACGAGTGGCGCTGAGCCTGACATACTCCAAGATGGGCAAGGTATAGCTGTTGACGCTAGTCACACGACCTACGTTGGGCTTGTACACGTCAGCACGAGCAGGGTCGTCAATGTTCTCGTGGGACCTCATGCTGCAGATAGTCTCCTCAAGGCCGTTACCCTGTGGGCTACGTGGGTGTCTCCACTCCTCGCTCTCGTAGGGCTGTCTTAGAGGTGGCCTCACGACCTGGAAAGGTCCCTTAACACGAACGATGTTTCCTCGGCTGTCTTGTTGGTTTTGAAGCTCCTGAGCCAATTTAACGTTGATTTTCAATGCTTGAGCTATGATCTGTGCGTCGAAGCCGCTCCACATGTTTTTCTGTTCTTGTTGTTGCTGTGAACCGCCAAAGCCGCCCTGTTGGTTGTTTCCGGCTAAACGGAACACCTATAGCATAGAATCAACAAATGCAAAACATGTATATATTAGTTAAACTGATATGGTCGATCTTCTAACAGCGTATGTGTGCGTCTGTGTATATATATGATTACTCTAGGGTTGCGGTCGAGTTGGTTTTGGTAGTTGGCGATGTCGAGAAGAGCGATGATGACAAGAGGCTGTTCTCCGGAGTTGTAGATCCAGTGGGCAGATCCAGGAGTGTTGGCAAAGACGTCTCCGCGTCTGACATGTTCCACCTTCTGGTGCATGTCACGGAACCCTTGTTGTCCCTGCTGTCCCTGTTGTCCTTGTTGTCCCTGTCCTTCCCATGGTTGGCCTTGTTGTCCTTGTTGTCCCTGTTGTCCTTCCCATGGTTGGCCTTGTTGTCCTTGTTGTCCCTGTCGTCCTTCCCATGGTTGTCGTCCTTGTTGTTCCTGTCCTTCCCATGGTTGCGAGTCCATGAAGGTCTCCGCACATCCAGGGACCACTCTTCCGCTAATACCCCTTCCTGTAAATTCATTTTAAATAAAGTGAGAACAAGAGTTATCGTGTGGTGAATTGATTATATCTTCATTAATTAGACATGAGATAAACAAATTTGATTGGAAGGGTTTTCACGTATGAACCTTGAACGACATAGGAAATTTTTGGGGAAGTGAAGAAGGTGGGCAAGTAAAGACCGCCTTGTTCGATTACATAACGAGCGACAGAAACACCAGCACATCGGAGCTGAGGGTGGTTGTGGTCCCAGTACTCGATCTGACCGGCTTCACTCTTGATAGTTTCAGTGGCTTGGAGAACGTCTAGGTTGTCGAGGTTACACTCGTTCTGTAGCTGAGGAGGAACCCCAAGCGACTGCCTCGCAAGGCAGCCATTAAGGACGAGGAGAACCCCGAACGTTGCAACGAGGAGATTGCCGAGCTTAACCATTTTCTTTTTGTGTTGTTGTGAGAGATGGATGAAGATAACGGGACTTAGCAGGGGTTTATATATTGTCGAGTGAGCTCAAGGTTTTAGCCACGTAGGATTGATTTTGCATGGAGTCTTCTCTCTATGCTTTTTACACGTCACTCTATGAGCCCGAGCAAGTGTCTCTTGATCTTCATGCGCGTAGCTCACTCTCCGCATATGTCTAAATACGACAAAATCAAATGTATCTATCTCAAATTTTGCTTCACGTTTATCCTAATAGATTTATCTTTTATCATCATCTTACAATGTTTTAACCATGATAACATAATTCACTTTTAAACGGGAGAAGATAGTCTAATTTTAACAATTAACACATCAAATTAGATCACCAATGTTCCAGTATTAAATATATGGCGATGTGATCGAAGAGTTTACGAGATACAGCCAAAATCTTGTATTTAAAACAAAAGAATTTATTAAAAATCAAGGAAAAAAAAGGAAACAAGGTGACACATGAGAGAAGACGCGGCGACACTAGGCGTGTTTGATCCCATTGTATCTGCTGCGACTTGTTTCGACAACTGTTCGGTTGCATGTTTAGCCGCGAGGACATGTGTCAAATATTTCGTACATGGGCTTTTAAAAGCTAAGCTCAATAAATTATTCTAATTCACCATAAAGCCCATTTAAAGCGTCTAATAGCCCATAACGTGAGCCCAAAGTTCATTTCCAAACGAAAAATGTGAGTCACCGTCACATTTCTCCAATAGAAGTCTGAGCTTAAACCCTAAACCCCTTTCTCCACGATCTTCCTCTTCCTCTCTCTGTGACTTGAAGCAAAGTTTTCAGGTACGATTCTCGCCATTTTTCTTATGTTTTTGGTGTAATGGGTTGGTATTGATCGATTCCTTTCGAAAATTTTAGTGAACAAGTGAATTTCGGAGGTAGGTGAGAGTTTTCTGCTCGAAATTTGCCAATTTGTCGTCGTTATTATGCCTAAGATGCGAGTGTTACTGTTTGATTTGAAGTATTTTGAGTAGCCTAGCATGAGCGTTCGTTAAATTTGCTATCTTTTATGACTTCGTTTGCTGAATCTGACTTGATTTTTGTTATTTTGACTCTTTTGAATGTTTTCATGTTGAAGTTGCATAATTGAGTAGATCTGATTCTGGATTTTGATTATTGTTTTATATATTGGGATTGTTCCAGAAAAGAAAAAGAGATGAATTTGAACAACGTCAAAGTTCCGAAGGTGCCAGGTGGTGGTGCCATTTCGGCGTTGCTTAAGGTTGGGATTATTGGTGGGCTTGGTCTCTACGGTGCTACACACAGTCTCTACAATGTTGAAGGAGGACATCGAGCCATCATGTTCAATCGTTTAATCGGTATTAAAGATAAGGTTAGTCAGTGTTTCTTCAAATTGGGTCTTTTGGGTTTTTAGTGAATGTAATTTGCCAATGATTTATTTTGCGGTTTGTGACATTTGGATGGAATTGTCCTGGTTGATTTGTTAGTGAAAGTCTGATTACCGTCTGCGAGATGTTTTTTATTAATCCCCGAGGCTGATTTGTTGTCCATGTTTGGTTATTAGTCATGAAATCTTGTTGTTCTGCTGTTCTCGCTGAGCGTAATAACAGTCTTCTTATTTCACAAGTATGTAGCTAGTAACCTTGTTATTACGCAGGTTTACCCTGAGGGTACACACCTTATGATTCCTGGGTTCGAAAGGCCGGTCATCTATGACGTTCGCGCTCGACCTTACCTTGTTGAGAGTACATCCGGAAGCCGTGACCTTCAGATGGTACTCTACTCTGCTTCAACTCCTCCCATTTTCAGTCATTTTGTTTTGTGAATGTAGGGAATGTAAAGTCTTTCCCTTCAACCATCATGTGGTTTCTCATATGCCACTGTAGTGTTATTTCGATAAACAACATCATTTGTGGGTTTTAAAACTTTCAGGTAAAAATTGGGCTTAGGGTTCTCACGCGTCCCATGGCAGACCAGTTACCTGAAATCTACAGAACCCTTGGTGAGAACTACAGCGAGAGAGTTCTGCCTTCTATAATCCATGAGACTCTGAAAGCTGTGGTTGCTCAGTACAATGCAAGCCAGCTTATTACTCAGAGAGAGGTATACAAGTGACTGTAAATATATGATCATCTTAATCTTCTTTCTTCGTTAGTGAAGTTATTAAAGATATTTTTGGGGATACTCTCAGGCGGTTAGTAGGGAGATCAGGAAGATTCTGACTGCACGAGCAGCAAACTTCAACGTTGCGCTTGACGATGTGTCCATCACGACCCTGACATTCGGGAAGGAGTTCACAGCTGCCATTGAAGCAAAGCAGGTGGCGGCTCAAGAGGCTGAGCGGGCTAAGTTCATCGTTGAGAAGGCCGAACAAGACAAGAGAAGTGCTGTTATCCGCGCCCAGGTAAAGAGATTCTCTACATTTCCACTTATCTAAAATCTGAGACCAAGATTGTTGTGTGACAAAAGTTCTAATGACTTGTGTAGGGAGAAGCCAAGAGTGCTCAGCTCATTGGTCAAGCAATTGCAAACAATCAAGCGTTTATCACTCTCAGGAAGATAGAGGCTGCAAGAGAGATTGCACAGACCATTGCAAACTCGGCGAACAAGGTGTACTTGAGCTCAGATGATCTTTTGCTTAATCTACAAGAGATGAATTTGGATGTCGATGCAAAGAAGTAGAGAGGCTTCTTAACTAAAACCCCATGTGGTTCATGTCGTCTTTTAAATTCCTAGGATCCTTTGGATCAAAAGCTTTATATGTACTACTAAATGCTTTTTAAGTTGTTCTTGGGATCTCTCTATCTTAAGGTGAAAATTGGTCTGCAGAAAAAGAAGATACTGTCTTTCTGAATGTGTTAATTGTAATAAACTTGTCGTCGTTTGGGGAGAAAAAAATGTACGAGACTTGCATTTGGAGTTAAATGGCCATAGCATATAAGAAAAAAAAATGATTTAGTTATCACTTATACGATTGTTACCATACAACTTTTGTATAAAATTGATCTTGCAGATGTAAAGATGAATTCGTGTACCAATAGACAAGATCTTTGTACATATTTTTCATGGTCAGTCCAAGGAATTTAAATTGTACAAAGCAGTAAAATCAAAAGGGAAAAAAAATATTTATGACAAAAAAACAAGTTACGTATGATTGCATTGTAAATTTAAATTATTTTCAACGTATGTATGTGTTGTAATATCAAAGATAATGCTTAGATATTATATACCTTTTGTTTTATTTTACGATGGTTGATGTAAAATGGTTTTGTTTTTAAGGGATAAAAGGTTGAGAGTCATGAACCAAGTGGTTCTGTATCCCGGTCTGATTAAACGAGATAAGAGCCGGGATATTGTGATAATACTCACCGGCTCCGGCGGTTCCTCCTCCACCGCCGTTGCTCTTACCGTTACCGTTGTTATGATGAAGATGGTAATGAAGGTGTCGACCACCACCTCCACCGAGGCCGTGGAGGTAAGGTCGGTCCTTAGCGGTGGCTACGGCTGCAACGGAGCCACCGCATTGGCGTGGTTGAGTCTGGTAGAAGACTTTGGAGACGACGAGCTCGCCTTCTTTCTCTTCTTCGCTTGTGCCAAGATGATATTGATGCATTACCCAATTAGTCTTCTCGGGTTTTTTTTGTTTGCCGTAGTTTGTGTAGAGAACTAGGATTTTCTTGTAGCCTCTCACTCTTCCTCCGGCGAGAACTGGCCGTGTTTTTCCGGTCTTATGCCACCGTGTCTCGCCACCGACGTCAGAATCAGTGTGGACTTTACGTCGCTTTCTTGTTCCAGTCGTGTATGCCTTCGACGGTCGGTGGAAGAAATGACGGACCGTCCCGTCCTTGTTTACTCCTATATATCAATGACTAATTAGCATTCATCAAACTTAATTTAATTAATAAATTGGATAAGCTACATCTTCTTTTTCTATTTGTTTTTTTTTTTGTCAAAGGCTTCTTTTTCTATTTGACATTTTACATCGTGCAAAATATGATTTAATTATTTTTTCCACGTATTTTTGTAGTTCTCAATATTCATTACTAGACGATCATATGAAGACGAAAAAAATATAATTATACTCTTGATGATTGAACAACATAGAATCACCTGGCAATTTCTCAGGATGGGTATAACAGATGCCGTTTTCACCATCGATGGTACGGATAAACTCATCGATGAGAGGATGAAGCTTTTTAGCGTCGTCTCTTACCTTCCCTTCAAGATGCTCCAAGACCTCTTGATCCGTCGGATCAAATTTCACTCCAGCAGGAAGTCCCGGCAAGTCATGGATCCCCGCCTACATTACATATTATATTCACATATCCAACATCATCTAAAGTAGAAACTTGATATAGGTAGAGGGAGAAACAAGAACCTGTTCGTGAAACTTGAAGTTATGGCCACAAGAAGGACAAGTTTTGTGACAAGAGACCGGAAGTGAGGCTACCGGGGACTCAGGCGCGGCAGGGGAGGGAATGATTCTTTCAACGGTCTGAACATCGCTACGGTCATTGCACCAAGTCATGTTGTTTTGTTTGTGTCTCTAAGTTTCTTCTTGTGCATATCTCTCTTCTTTCTCTTCTCTTCTTTCAGTGCTCACAACTTAATCAGAATAACCAAAGCATGAGGGATAGAGAGAGAGAAAGAGAGAAGGAAAAAGGGTTAAAGACAAAGAGGAAGGAATTAAATTCTTGTTCATCACTTTTTAAGTTGAGTTAATTGCCTTTTTTGCATTTGATTTTAACTCTCTACTATCCGAGAGAGAGAGAGAGAGAGAGAGAGAGGAGGAGAGAGAGAGAGGAGAGAGAGAGAGAGAGAGAGAGAGGAGAGAGAGAGAGAGAGAGAGAGAGAGAGAGAGAGAGAGAGAGAGAGAGAGAGAGAGAGAGAGAGAGAGAGAGAGAGAGGAGAGAGAGAGAGAGAGAGAGAGAGAGAGAGAGAGAGAGAGAGAGAGAGAGAGAGAGAGGAGAGAGAGAGAGAGAGAGAGAGAGAGAGAGAGAGAGGAGAGAGAAGAGAGAGAGAGAGAGAGAGAGAGAGAGAGAGTCCTAGTAAAAATAGTAAAAATAATCATACATGTTAAGTAACAACGAGAGGGACAGGCACACCTACAACTTGAAAGTAAAGTCTAAAGATATTTAACTATGAAACTTTCAAACCTTAATTAATTTTACATTGTAATATATATTAATAAATATTGGAACTTTTATTTTTCGTTTTTTACAAGTGTGCATGTACTTATACATTTTTGAAGTAAAAACATATGAATTTAATAGACTTTAATTAGCTTATTTTTAAAAATACTAAATATGTGATATTCTGAAGAATAAAGAGAGCGAAATAGACAAAGACTGATCAAACAAAAATTATATGAAAGACAAATTAAATCTTGTGAGGGAATACATATATGAGCTTCTTTCTTTTTTTTGACAATAACATTAAGTAATGGAACAAAATACCTTTGTCTTGTAGTATTTATGTGTGCTGATCTCTATAATCCAATATATTATATTATATATATATATACATATATATATATATATATAATGCTGAGTAAGAATACTAAAATCTGGAATTAATCAATTAATATTGGTAATTTGGTGATAAATGTATAGGATCTAAAAATGAATATGAGATGGAGTGAATTTGGGGCAAGGTGTTGCTGCTGGTCTGTGAGAGCTCAGACGTGATATGGTAGAACAAAAAAAAAAGAAAGAGAAGTTAAGGTCCAATGTCATCCTAGAGTGCATGTAAAGTTTTTCACTACAAAAAACAAGGAGTCTAACGTCACTTTTTTTTTAGTGTAGCGTCGCTTTTAAAGCGATGTTAGCATTATATGATTTAAAACTTTTACTAGCATCAGTTACCAAATAAGTGATGCAAACCTTTTCTAATTAGCATCAGATACGAAGAAGTGATACCAATATATTACTGTTAGCGTCGTTCATATATAATCGACGCAAGTTTTAATATTTTAACATCGCTTTACTAAAGTGATACCAGACGTAACGCCTTTTTTTTCTTTTAGTAACAGTTTTACAAGTGATATTAAATAAGTGATGCAAGATAGTCAATTTTTTGTAGTGTTTTATTACATAAACTTAATATGACTCAGACTTCCTCCTCTTCAGTCATGGACTCAGAGAAACTTGCTTCAGATATAATATACTTATACCATGGGGCACAAATCAGGTAAACCACGAAATCAGCTGCGGTTAGACCAGCTAAAAGGAAGTAGAATCTCTCCAAGTGTCCTTTGTTGAGGTTTTCAGGAATCCAGCCAGGCACGTCATCTGTTGTAGAGATCTTCATGACAATGGAAACTAACAAACTGCTTATATAGTTCCCAAGAGATATTGAAGCCATACATAGCGCGCTCGCAAAGCTCTTTAGCCCGATTGGAGCTTGGCTGTTGAAGAACTCGAGTTGACCAACGTACATGAACACTTCTGATGCACCTATCAAAATGTACTGAGGTACTTGCCAGAATATGCTCAAAGAGCTCGTGCTTGAGACCGAGGTAGCACTTTCCGGTTCTTTATTTTTCAGTCTGTATATCTCTACGATTCCCGCTGAAATCATCGCCATTATCGCAATCACAAGCCCAATCCCCATCCTCTGAAGCTCAGTGAGACCTTTGTTGGGTTCTGTTTTGTTAAGTCTTGCAAAGAGTGGATCAAGAAACCGCCTGTAGGCGAAGATGAAGAAGGCGACGCTGAGAATGTCGAAACTAGACATGCTTGAAGCTGGAATCCGGAAGTTTTTGATATTTGTCTTCATCGTCGCTCCTTGCACAACGAATAGTGAAGCCATTTGAGTGAAAACCACAGAGTAGAGGATGGTGCAGAGCCAGATTGGTAAGAGTCTTAACACACATTTCACTTCTTCAACTTGAGTTACTGAGCAGAGCCTCCATGAATCGTATTTTGATTCGCTCTCGACTTTCTCGGCCTCATCGTCAGGCGTAACTATCGCAGCTCTATCCAAGAATCTGTAAAAAAAAATTAGAGAGTTAAAGCTGATCTTGAAGATTGTTTCTGAGATTATAACAGAATCATTTTAAGCTGTTATCTACCTGAAGCCTTTGGTATGAAGAATCTTCTTATCTCCAGTTCGTTGAGTCTCAGAATCATAAAGATTCAAGTCCTCCTGGTCCACATCAATCTTAGCCTTTCTTGTTGCAGCAACCAACACTTGGCAGAATCTAGACCAAGGACTCTCTCTAGGCGTAAAATGTCGGTACTTTGGCGTCCCAGTCAAGAAAAGTACTAAACCCGCAAAAGCAGAGCCCGCAGACGCCCAAAAACCTAACGGCCATTCCCCTTGATCCTCAAAGTAAACCAATACAGTATTCGAGAAGAGCGATCCAAGATTCAGAGCTAAGTAAAAGTAACTGAAAAACGCGATTTTCGAATGACCTTCAACAGAATCCTCTGCATCAAACTGATCAGCTCCAAAGGTCGCTATGTTCGGCTGATAACCACCGTACCCTAAGGCGATTAGATACACCGATAGATAAAACAGAACCGTCTTAAACGTGGAGTGAGGCTTACACGGAGAATTTTCAACTCCACAACCACTTGGTTCAAGCAATAACGCCCCAGTAGATAAAGATAATATCACCAATCCCTATAAACCATTAAAACATGTTAACTTATGACTCAAGAAACAAACCCTAGAAGAAAACAGAGTAGTGTTGAAGAGACTTACTGCAACGAAACTTGCTTGAAAGATAGCACAAGTCTTGTAACGTCCCCAATAAGAGTCACTGAGGAAAGCACCAAGCAAAGAGAAGATATAAACAGTTCCAGTCCATTTACTAACATTATTGGCCGCTTCTGCATTGTCTTGTCCCATCACTCTGGTCAGAAACAGAACCAAATTCACTC